CTACACTTTTTATTGCTCGTGGCATCAAAGGAGACATATAGTGAATATTTCTACGATGTATGTGAAATGGCCGAGAAAATCAAGACTTTGAATTGTGCGTAAGGTACGCGAATGCACATGTAGGGTATGGGATGACTCGACTATTCGAATTTTACATGAATAGGCAAATCTAATTTCAGATTAGACTTACAATCAGATATGCAAATAATGGTTAGTTTCTCTAAAATGATCAAAATGATGCTACGGCTGACAACATTTGCGCGTAAAAAAGAGCATAAATCGCAATACTTAAAAGTGCGGACAATGGCTATTTTTCACGCGTAATGCTGTTGTCATTGTAAGCATAGCAGTTTTTTCCTCACAGTTGTTGTCGGCTACGTAAAGGTACTACTCTAATCTTCAAATAGATTATATTACATCTGTCTTGGCTATACTGTATCATTAGGCGTTATTCAGATTTACACTATGTGACTACTATTTGGCAGGTCTTAACTAAACCAGTTGTTTAAATGGTATCTTTTACGATCCATTCGTAGTAAAGAAGTTTAAACTCTCGTCCAGTACCGTGCCCGAGATATTGATTCACATGGGGGAGTACGGTAGTGGGCAAACTGAGTTGAAATTTCTTGAGCCAAATCATTCACATGTGTCTACGATTTATGCATGACCACTGTTTGCAGGCTGTATCAACTTTTACTCTCTTTCTCTTCCCTACCCCCTCCCCCTCCCCTCTGCCCGTGTACGTCTTGCTACCCTTTCACCCATTCTCGAAAAGCGGCAGCTAAAGCACAGATTACAGCGACACAAGTGGCTTCATCATCGGCTTTAGCCACGGTGGTCCCGCATTGTCGTGCCGTTTGTGGGGCTCAAGCGTGTCGTCGTGTTTGGCTGCTAAGCAAATATTACGTCCCCCTCCTCCACAACCCCCCCCCCCTTGAAACGACGAATACTATACGACCGGAGCCGTCGATGACGACGGACGGGGTTTGGCTGCTGCATCGATTACGTTCGCCACTCCACAATTGGAACGTTAGCAATTCGATAGGCAAACATTAGCAATTCGCCGGTTTGGGTGGGA